ACAAGAATACAACCAAACCAGTCATCAGATCTAAGAGTCAGTTTGGATGATTTTTGCTTTTGCATCTTATAGAAAAGTTTTTGAAGGAAATTACTTTAATTTTTGTTTGGCAACTAATTTTTAAAAGAATTTCCTATTTCGAAAGTGTTCTTGGATCAATTAATTTTTTTTAAAAAAATATTATCTAGAAGAAGCACTTTTATAAAAATAGTCAAACAAGTTCAAAAACAACTTTTAAATCTCAAGAAACTATTTTTGACTTTTCAAAAACCATCAAACAAGTCATATGTAAACTAAAAGATGTAAGCCAACTATACGATTGGACCCAACCAATTACATTAGTATGACCATAAAAAATAGTAGTCATAAAAAATAAATCTCCGTCTGGCAAATTTACAAATAATTCGAAAATACAAAGAGTAATGAGTTTCATTAAATGTATAGATAATAATAAATAGTAAGGGAAAATTGCAACTGCGGTCCCAAATCTTTCATTTATTAGCAAACTTTGCTCAAACCTTTCATTTGTGCTACCGTGAGTATCAAACCTTTCAGAAATATGCACCAGGGGTCCAGATGGATGGAATCCATCCATTTGACCGTTAATTGACCAAGAAAAGTAAATGTTGACTAAATTGGAAAGGGTAAAATGGTAACTTGATAATTACCATATTAAATAAATTGAAAAAAAATCAAAAAAAAAAAATAAGAAGAAATTAAAAAAGGGTTGTCTTCTTCAACCACCCCATTCCACCCAACCCAACCCAGAAGCTCGATTCCATTGCCCCCAATCTAGCTATCGGCAGCCTCTCACAGAAATCTAAGAAGGGAAGAAGTCTGGTATCTCTTTGCACAACTTCACCATTAAATCGTACCCAACAAATCCTCCAAAAATCTCTCAATCGATGGCTGAATAAATTTGACGTTGGACCTCAAATCCGAAGCCCCTGCCAACACCAAACCTATTCTATCTTCATCCATTTTTTGCCCTCTTTCTGTATATATCTCTATTGTTTCTGCTTCATCTAATGATTTGAAGAGAACGAGGGATTCGAAAGGTGCAATGAGGAAGGTCGGGGACTCGATGTGTGTAGGGTTTTGGGGGGGCAAAATCCAGGTGATTGTGGTGCAAAATAAATATTTGCTGCAACAGATCGGAATGGTCGTGCCATAACAGAGACAGAACAACTAAAACGGACCAAAATCAATCTATTTCTCCTCATCCATATTATAAAATTATCCTTGGTGTCTTCTTCCTCGCAAGAACTGGAGAATCAATTCTTCAGTTACCTCCTTAAAGTCCATCAAATCGCACATTTCTTGGCCTTTATAACCCTCATTCGCACTCGAAGCGCCATGTCTCGTTCAGCTCCTCCAATTCTCATGGATTTACCTCATTTTCTTGTTGATGAGTATTGTTGGGTGGGCAGTGGTGGTAATGCTGGCGGGTAATGGTGGCTGCCGGTGATGAATGTAGTGGTTGGGTGGAGTGGTTTTGATTTGGCAAAGAAGGAGATGGTTTTATTAATTTTCTAATTTTTAATTTAATAGGGAAAATGCATTATGTCCAAAATGCCCTTACCTTATTTTGGGGAAATAATTAAATTTTTAATTTTTGAGGTCAACTAACGGTTTTTGTGGTCAAACAGACGGAAACCGTCAGTTTTGACTTGAACTGCACATTTTTTAAAGTTTTGGTACTCACGTTGGCACAAATGAAAGGTTTGAGCAAAGTTTGCTAATAAACGAAAGGTTTGGTACTTTGGCTGCAATTTTCCCTAAATAGTAATTATAGATGTTTGATTGAAAGTAATATTTAATTTTGATTGAATTAATAAACCATTTAAAATTTGGTATCCAAGGGAGAATAAAATAATCATTATTGAGTTTTTCGTGGTGAAGAAAGATAAAAGACAAAAGGATGAACGGATGGCACAATTCAATAACTATGAGCCTGTTTGGCCCCGATTTTTTCACCCAAAAAATTGATTTTTTGATCGTTATTTCACTAATCCAGCTGTCATATTTGACTTCTTCTCTCACAGATGGATCCCACTTTTCTCCTAACGATTAAAAAATCAATTCTCAAAATCACTCCCAAACAGCGTCCATATAAACTTTTTTAATTGATTTTAATATGTAGTTTTGTTGGGAAAAAATAAAATGATGCCAGCAAGTACCTCAATCACGTCCTTGCCTAGTCACCATTTTTTATCCTTTCACAATAAAATAATGAGTACAGGAAAATTTTAATAAAACTTGTACCGACACTGATGTTGTAAAATATGATTGAACTTTTTTTTTTCTTTTTCTCCCATTTCTCGATGATGTCGCGCCATGTGTTGTCTATAAGATTTTTCTGTCAAAAAAATTATGTACCTATAACATTGTTCATCCTATTATAGACTGCAGGAGCTCCTAGGACCTTTTTTAAAGTGGCAGCCGTAATTAGGGACTAAAGAGCAAGAATTTGGTTTTAAAAAAAAATAAAATTAAACTCACCTTTCTTCTAAATCCTTGAGGAATTTATAGATTTCCCTATAGGATGCTTAGGCCTTTGGTGTTTCGTGGACATCAACGCTTCAACATTGGAGAGTTCTCAAACAAATTACAATTCTAGATGGTTGCATGACTTGTGACTCTCACATATTGAGTTGGTTCTTACTTTCATAAGATTTTTTAAATCGCCTTTCCCATATGCACTTCTAACAATTTTGGCCACATAATGCTTATCTTATACTAGCACAAGGTTAACGAGGTATTTATGTACTTCGCTTTGAGGAGATGAAGATATCCTTTTACCTCTAGTGTGTTCACTTGTTTTAAATTTATTTATAGTTCAACCCCTCCTAAGTGTTTTAGTTCAATTATGAGACTTCGAACTTAGGGGTTCGTCTTCACTCATATGGTATTTAAGGAAGGTTTTAATACTAGAGCTTCACCTATGTGTGAAGCGATTATAGCGAAACTTATTCTGAACTTGTTTTTTTATAACGTCATTTTTTAATTGGATAATAATTTTATTTAATAATTGCCTATGTCAAGTTCATTAATAATCTCGCTAAATGAATTAGATAATAATTTTATTTAAAATCCTTTTGGGCCTAACGAAAATATAAAATAATAGTTGGTAAAATGTGTAAAATTTTGTAATAAATATCAAAAACTTTTGATTTGACAAATTCGGTTTAATTTCAAATATTTTCCTGAAAATATGTATATATAGTTGCTTGATTTTTCTTTGTACTTACTCAACCTCAATTCGAATTTTTCCTTCTTTTTTTTTTTTATTTTTTTTTTATTTTTTTACTTTTTTTGTGGCAATGCATTTTACACATTTCTTTTTTATTTTCATTTAAAGATACATACTTGAAATGCTTCTTTGGATCAAATAGTTAGTAAAACACAACTATCATTTAAATCATGATTATTTTCGATATACATAGTATCTCTTGAATAATCTCTTACGTCATAAGCTACTCCATCTTTGTATTATATTCATTAGGATAATTCATGAAGTGTTGGATATCCATCATATTTTGGTAACATTGACTCTAAAAAACATGATGGCTTCACTTATCTATAGAAAACTAACAAATTAATTATTTATTGAAAACTTAATAATATTTCTAAGTAATTATACTTCATGGTCCCAATATTATTATTTTATAGAATTTTAATATACCCCATTTATAAGACATTTTGAGTTTTGACAAATCAATTTATTAGCTAAACTTACTCCTATTCGCTTACAAAAGTCTCGTAGTCGTAACTATTACACTATTACAATCTAATAGTGCTACATATCTTGGATAAATAGAACTGTGGACCGACCTTTTGCCACTCCAGTTATAAATAGAACTACTTGTCAATTTAGAAAAATCTGAGTCTCAATCATACTTAATCGAAGCTTGGCCTTAATTTAGCACATGATTGGAAGTTTTCTTATAAATTAAAGTGATCAAATCAAATTAACTTTTTATTCACACATTTTATTAAATTTACAACTGCTCTCAACTTATTCATCGTTTATTTCTATGAACTTATAATTTAAATAACTAATAAATATTTCTAAAAAAGATTTTAATTTATTTTGTTTCATGTCACGGTAGTCAATGCAATTAGTCATTTACATGACAAATTTATGTACCAATTTTTCTGCTCA